CCTATCCAATGGGTACCGGGGGTAAAGTGGCAGGAGCGTGAAGCTTGCCACTCATCTCCAGCTAGTGCAGAGGCCAAGAAAATATGGTTCTATACATTCACTCCCCATACGCTTCTATTTTCAGGGTCGCGATGAATAGAGTGTATCTGAGTGTTCATGTATGACAGTGCTGCATGGCCTTATAGGTACGTGCTGCCTCCATCTTCAGGGTCGCGGTGAATAGAGAGTGTGTGTGAGTGTTCATGTATGACAGTGTTGTCATCAGCTCAGAAGTACGTGTTGCTTCTATCTTCAGGGTCGCGATGAATAGAATGAGTGTGTGTTCGTATATAGATTTTGATCCAAGAGACGCATGGAAGAAAGAGCGGGAACTGCGAAATTATCTTTCCGTCAGATCGGCTAACGAGGATACCGCCGCAAATTTCCACACGGCATGACCCACGACGGAGGACGTAAAGCAGCACTGTGCTTAGTGGGCACTTGAACGTGTGCCAGGCGTTGCTGTTGGTTTATTGGTGCATTCGGTGGCTCTAAAGCGCGCCGTATTTGGTAACATTTTCCTCTCTGCGTTCCTTGTTGTCTTGGATTGGGCATTCACCCCCCCCCCATTCCCCCGTAGGTCTCGACATGAATTCTGACTCATACTATGGGCACCTGAGGATGGTGAGAACATGTAGCTCCGGAACGTCGGCAACACTTCCGACATCCACACAGTGGAAAGACACAAAAGTAGAATTAGCTTACCATCTTCTGTTGCATGCACAGCAGCTTCGTAATATGCCGCTCTCAGATAACACGGTCTCTCGATGGATTGCTGATACATCAGAAGACTGAGAAGAAGAGCGGATTGAGAAGGCGAGACACAAAGGTTTCTCAATACAGATTGACGAAGCAACTGATTGTAGTGCAGTTGATCACTCGATAGCTTACATGCGATGTGTTGAAGGTACAACAGTAAATGAAGACATGCTTTTCTGCAAACCTATAAAAAGACGAGCAACTACAAAAGAACTCTTCAGAATTGTTGATGATTTCATGGAAGAAAACAGCATAAAGTGGTCAGACTATTGGAGTAGGCACAACTGCAGCTCGCGAAATGGCGGGAAACGAAGGACTAGAAAGATGCTCGCCAGAAGCAATGTGTACACACTGTATGATCGTTGTGAAGCACTTCCTACAAGGAATTATATGCAGACCTGAGTGGAGTGATGGATACAGTGATCACAACTGTCAACTCATACCTGTAACTATGAATAGTATTGTTTTGTGGGATTTGACGCAGTGTAGTCTGATAGACCGCTATCCGTTCACGATCTACCAGAATATACGCCATGACATCCCAGACTACAGTAATTATCACCTACAATGTAATTTTTCCGTAGGGTGAGAGACCGAATTTTGGTTTGAGAAATGAGTCATGTGAAAGATCATTGTGTGAACAGACATCACCAAGCTGCTATCCGTTGTTGAATTTCGTGCCCTGAACATATGAAGTCATGATGATGAATTATACAGATCTGAGTCCCCAGAATATCTGGGCGCTCTCATGCTGTCGACCTGCTTGCGCATGCTCTAGTTGTCTGGCGACCATTGGTTTTCGTCGCAGAACCATACAGAGTGTGTTTCGATCGGAGACGCTTCATAAATTATTCCTGTCGATCCTGTAAGATGAATAGCAAAGCAATGGCTAGCCGATGTTACGTCATGCCGGCGGACGTAACTTGGGAAAGGACTGTTACAGCCCGCCAAAGACCCGACTTTTTCTTTTAGACAAGGTTCCGTCTCACATACACAGATCTGTACTGTATTGTCTGCAGATGTCACATACACGAGGAAACCCGAAACATATGGGCCCATTCAGTGTGATATTCTTTATTCTCAGTACAAAATTTGAGCTCATTATGACAATGAATTGTCGAGCTCTAATATGTTGCATGAACGTAAATTATATAGTAAGTCACGAATTAACGAAGAGTCTTTTGTTTCAGTGTATCGAGTCTATTCTGTGAGTACTGATAACATATTCTTTTGGATATATATGAAGTTTAGTGTACCATATAAGAAGATGGTTAACGGTGGACTGATTCTACGCGATTTTCATGGGAAATGGCGTTAAAAGGTGAACTCGACGTATCATTTGATGCTATGTAGGACTGGCGAAGAATGCTGGAGAAAGCAGGGGAAGTTAATATTACGACATTTTATGTAACAAATAATTTGGCTCTTCGAAGAATTGACATTGAATTGAAATGACATTGCTGATGTTAGGATCCCATAAACAGGTCTTGTAATGGTTAACTTTAAGTATAGAAGACTACAGTTTTCTTGTACGTGAAAAAATTACTACATTTTATTCATTCATATGGAAAAATTAAATTAAATTCATAGCGAAGTAGTTTCATGTCGCTTCAAATAAATTGCTTCAAATTTCCATATTTACAATTCCTGGGGGCACACTGTATCGTAGTTGGTTGGGGCACTATGCTACAAGCCGGAATGTCGCGAATTCGATTCCCGATGAGGTAATTGGATTTTTCGATTGACGTAATCCTTCCAGTCGCAATATGGCCCTGAGGTGACACAACCTCTAACAGATATGAGTACAAGGAATCTTCCTGGACTGTAAAAGGTTCCGGCGCGTAAAGCTGACAACCTTACCACAATCTGAGTCGATTGTCTAGAAGATGTGTGAGCCTCCACGGCCTCTTACATGAGTAGCTTTACCTTTACCTTTTTACACAGTTTCTGAGATTATGAGACGCATGACTGCCTGTAGTATTATCACAGTGTTGCAAATGACACTTGCCTCTCTGCGCTATAAAATCATAATGGTGCTCTGTGGCATTGTGACAGGGCAGTACGCCCACATAAAATTTCTGAGTGTAATTAGAAATCCTCGTTAACAGCGCTATTTACATTTCAACACGGTACTATTTAATACAAATACGTATAAGCTAATTTAAAGTTACATTATTATTTTAGGCAGTTGCAAGTCTCGGAAGAAGTTTCTACTCCGATCTTCGGAATAGACACCCTGAAGGGGAGGTAGCAGTTTCATCTGATATGACGGTACCCTCTACCAGGCTACATGATGTCACATCTTCGCAAACAGCGATTCTGTGTTAATTTCTGTTTGAACCTGGGATCTCACGTAATACAGAATTTTTAAGGCTAAATTCAAGTGGATTATTAAGCAATTTAAAGATCCATAAACCGATAAAAAAAATTTGAAATAGACACGAAATCCCATATTTATTAGCATGCTCAATTTTATATAAGAATATGAAAGGTTGAGACCAAGCCGGTTGGCGTATCGGTAACTCTATAAAATTTTATTTGGAGGTTACCGGTTCCAATCTCGGACGAGATGCTTACTATCCTGCATCATATATTCATGGACTTCCTCAGACAGTACGTAGATCAGGCCACAGTCGCTTTTTTTCAAAATTCTTTCCAGCTCATTCATCCACTCTACGGTGTGCAGTCGGGATGGAAAAAATAGCATGAAGTAACGCACAGAAAAGATCTGTGACTGAAATGGCGCTCCCTCTGTCCACAGATTTGTGCAGCGACTGAGTCTGACCCATGAGTCGAGATGACAGTGTCATGCTGCAGAAAGCCTGGTGGCTATAACTGTCACCCTCAGTCTGTAGGCGGCAGGAAACCCTGTACCTACCCTGCAAAAGTTTCGCAATTCGAAAACCACACTCTTTTCTTTTATTGTCAAGAACTTTATTAAATCGCAGTAAGGACGTGTCATTGCATCTGCTAGCATCATCTAGTTTCTACGCCGATTGCGCTTATAACTTCAAGACACTACATAAAACCCACATACATGATAAAATGAAATATCACTTACAGCCTAAGTGGGTTCTAAACTTGATACGATCGCCCTCGATTTCCGCCCAAGGGAAGAGTTAGATCTCTGAGCAGTAAGAGGTTTCGTTTTATCCCGTAGGAATAAGTAAGATATGAACACTCGGCCATTTCTAGATCCTTTTTACGTCCCTCATCGTAGCTGGAATTCTTAGTGTATTGAATTTGGCGCAGGTATTCTGTTTTAGAAACTTCCTTAGCTCTTTTGCTGAGCGTTACAGAAAAGACGTCTAGAGAAGTTAGCGAAGTTCTTGCTTTCAAATATTGCTAGATATCTGTAGCTCCTGGAGGCAGTCCTTCTGTCGCTGAAACCGTAGATCCTAAATGCACTGGCGAATGATGAAAACCCCAAGGGAGGATACTGCTTGGGAGGCTTAGGCATAGATGGGAAAGTAATATTAGATAAGTTCTTAAAGAAAGAAAATACGTTGATGCGGGTTGAATTGTTCTGGCCCAAGACGCGGAGCAATGTTGAGCCTGTATGAACACAATGATGGACCTGTTGATAAAAGTTGGGAAATTTCTTGACCAGGTGAGCAGCTGTTTAATTCTGACGAAGGAAGAAGACGAGACTCTGATCCATGGAATTAAGTGAAAGCAGTCCGTCTTAAACTTGAAACTGCTGGCTGGAATTTTTCGAGAACGTGATATGAAACATTACTCCATAATTATTCGAAGGAGCGCAATATACATAGCTTCTCTTATCCGCGATTTTGCATATCCGTGGTTTTGTTTCAGTATCACTAGGAGCATCATTTTCATACCCGTATACACTGTAGACGCTGTATTAGCGAGGTAATGGCAACTTACGACGACAGTAGACAAATCTTTGACTGGGACTGCCATTCGCTATCTGCCGGCTGAATTCATTAAAATGGTAGGGAATTTTGAGGCTGCAACAATTAATTTCATGGAACATTATATTTTTCTAGAGCTGACAGTCCTTCGTCTGCTCAAGAATTTATCCTAGCCTTGTGGAACTGAAAATTTCTTTATCGTGCTCACAGGACCCTGCCACTGGATCATACCTGGAATTGATTTACATTAGTTAGAACCCTATCACCCTGTCTGTTAATCTAAAATCAATATCTAATTTGATAATGTCATATTTTTGTGTTCTGCAGATTTCTTCACGACCTTATCGCCTCCATCTTCATCACAATGGAACGTGAGAGTGACGATAGGTGAGTCACCTGCGGCAGTCATTAAGAAGGAGACAGTTCCGAAGTTCATCCCTGCCAAACAAAATCTTCGCGATGTTCTTACGTCGACAGCAACACTTGGATTGTGGCTAGCACGTAACAAATGATAGTTGCAAGTAGAACTGACATCATGTAACATTCCAGCGCACTGATATTCCTGGGTAGGAATCTGGGACTCACCGCGCGTTGCTTCTCGAATGAAAGTATTGAAGTGTTTATGAGCGATGTAATTTTATTCATATAAGATGATGTCGTCTATTAGTCCGGGATTTCCATTAGCAAAAGTGATAAATACAACAATTAAATCTGCAGTTAAGACTTCCGTGTAATGCCACGACGCCCTCTGTGATCGAGTGCCTCATAAATTTGACGAAGACGACGCTGGTAGCAGTGTGACGCCATCGTCAGCATGCCGGGTGGACGCCGAGGGCTTGTTGCTCCACAAAACACATTTCTGGAGAATATCATCCGCCGCTCCAGCTCACAGCGTAAGTACAGTTTCGAGAATTAGTTTCGTGCCTTTATAAAACATTTTGTAATACGAAATTCGCTTGAAAGTAAGTTAAAAATGATGTGTAACGGAAAGGCAACATATTGATCACATGTTACATTGTTGGTGATCTGTTGTTTAACTGTACTTATAGAAGTATTTCGTGTTACAGGTTTTGATAAAATGGGAGAACAGTTAGATGTATCCAATTTTTCTTATTTAATGTTCTTCCTGTTACGAGGTGTACCGGAGAGTTCCCGGACTGTGTAAAAAAACAGAAATGCTGGCTTAAATGACCCATTTTCGACTGCCATCTCCAAAATAATGTCCTCGGGAACGTATACAGAAATTCTAGCTTTTTTACCCCCCCTCTTCGAGAGCAATATGGAAGTCATTTTACTTAATGCTGTCGAGTACCTGCGATTCCCTTTGGATATCAGACACTGTTTCAAAACGTCGTCCATTCAGTTTCGTTTTTAATTTGGTAAACAGAGAAATCACAAGGAGCTAAGTCTGGCGTGTAGGGAGAATGAGGAACGATAACCATGTTGTTGTTAGTCACAAAGTCTGTGGTTTTCAGGGACGCGTGGGCGAGCGCGTTGTCTTGATGAAAGAGCAGTGCGGCGCATGTTCAAAACTATGTAACTGATCCCAACGGTGTCTGCGGGCTCATGGATTGTTCCACGACGGTCTTTGTTGATGAGTTCTCGAAATTTTCCAACATTTTCTGTCATTTTGCTGATGTTTGGTCGCCCAGAACGTTCGTCATCTTCAGCTGACATTCGACCGGCCTTGAAACACGGATGCCATTCAAGAACGCCTGTCCGGCTTAAAGAATGTTCTCCAAAACCTTACGAAGCATTTCGAGAGTTTCGGTAGCGGATTTACTGAGTTTCACGCGGAACTTGATGCAGACACATTGCTCGATTTTGCCATCCATCGCATACAAAATGAAACGTGAAGTCGAAAAAGCACTTGTGTGAAAACAGTGAGTATTCATAGCGCGATGTCACGTGGCAGACTGATGCAATAGGCTTTCGGAAGTGTGGCTCTGCCCTCTCTTCTTATCTTCTTTCAGCTAGGCAGTTACAACAGGCTGGTAATTTTCCGTTACCACCTCGTTCACAATATGTTGTCCAGCGGTAAAGGAGTTCGTAAGCTAGCCAGACGAATGTATTCGATCGGGCCCTAAGCCATTCTTGTATATCTTCTTTTCGGTATTGATGTTCATTTAAAATGAGATTTAAGTGACGATCCTCGAGTTGTCACGGATACACTAATGAATAAACACATTAAGCATAACAGATATTATGGACAATGTCCGCCCGCGATGCTTATTACCAACAGAACTCGTACACCCACTTTAAATCTTTCTGCACATTCGTGAACATTCTCCTAGCTCACACAGTTACCGCTGTGCTAAACAGCCATTTCACCGTCAAGCTCGCCTCTCTGACCACAGAACTACCACCACAGTGCATCCTTATCGTTTGGAGTAGTCACTTAAAGAACGGCCATGCTAGACCTCTTGTCACTCTGTTATCATAACTCAAATTACAACAGACGAATTTATTGCAGATGTGTAATATGTATATCTGTAGCGTCTGAAGACCTTTCTGGTGAAGTAAATGCAATATTTTTAATTTCAGCAGCATGTTTCAACCGTATCCATAGCCTTCAGGCCACGTTATATTGCTCTTATCGAAACTGCAGTTATTGTGTTAGATATCGGCCGAGGTCTGCATTAGCTTAATTTCTAGACTCATGTATAAAATTACTACAAAACACCTTTACGTGTGCTATTATGGATTGAAATTGTTCTACACTGCACTGGATTTTATTTCGTTAACAAATTTAAAATTCAGTAAGCATTTCCAAGTCTTTCTACTTCTGTTTTTCTCCATCTTGGTCGCTGTTGTGTGTTGATTTGTTTGATTCAGTGTACTGATTTTCTGTTTCTTTTATCAAGGTTAGGTTTTTTGTTGAGTCTTCTTAACGTTTCTTTCGTTGATTCTGATGGGTTCTGACTATGGTGGATAACACACAGAATTACTGGGGGTTTGGACTTTTTGCATCGTCCGGAATTTTAGGTAATATTCCGGACGATCGAAAAAGTCCAAAACCCCAGTAATTCTGTGTTTCTTTCGTTATTTGCGAGATGTTGGTTCGTTTTGCTTTCGGTATGATTATGAGTCAACTCTTCTCTTGCATTGGTGACAATGTGTCTTTATGACATGTACATACACGATACAGTTCCACAATACCGGTCCTAACAGCACGTTTATCAGGAAAGAATTGTGTTAGATCATTCCCATGTCTCCCTATACTAACTCTCCTTTTTTTAACCAGCCAAGTACCTAGTCAAAAAGACGAAACTCAAAATTTAAGACAGAGGTTGTGAAAGTGTGCTCCCTCATCAGTGCTATCGCGCACTTTAAGGGGCGGTGGTCGATAAGTATATAGAGGATTGATGATTCGCAAGGAGGTGGGGAAAAGAAACTCACAGGAAAATATCTAACCCAGTGCCATTTCGTCAACAATGCATCGTACATGAAGTCACGTGGCATTAATCTCGACATACAACCCCGGCGTCTAACCGCCTGACGTATGACATCCCATATTTACTGTTCCTTTGCATTTGTCTGAGGACGTGGAGATTATATAAACAAATAACGGTGGACTCTTGATACCGTTCTTATTGTGAAGGGTAAAAAATTAAGTCGTTACTGAATCACGTTTCATTTTCTTCAAATTTAGTCAGTCTGCTGTTATAAATATTAAGAAAACCCATACCCTACGAATACAATAAAGTTTTAAAGTTTTTTTTCTTTCCGTAAGTAATTAATACATTCAGTCTAAATGCATAATCTCATAGTGAAGGAGCCTGGAATATGGGGGCGGGGTCAGAGGTTCGCATGGCAGTTACGAAGATTACAGTCTTCTGGGTTGTAACTTGTGTAGTTCTAAGATAACCCGAACATTTTGGAGGATAACATAGTGAAGAGTGGGCCAAGCAGTTTAATTTTGCTGATTTTTTTATCGCTCTACTCGCTTACTCCGAAATTGTAGGTGATATTTTCAACCGAAAAGTCTGTCTCTGTTCTAGCTACATGGCATTTCAACTCAGAAAATTGTAAATCTCAAGGTTGGGGTAGTCTGCAAGAGCCAAGATACGATCATGTATTGTTTGAAAATATTGTATAGCTATGTTAAGGAAATTTGCTTTATATCTCTGAAGTACGGAAAGATAAGCGGAGACTGTAAACAAAAAAAAAATCATTTAAGGACTTAGAAGTTTGCCTTAGAGAGCCGTATGCTCTTTGAGTTCTTAAGGCGCCTTTTTTCTTATGAAATTTATATAGCAGGTTTTACAGCATGAAAATTCTTTGTGTAGCGCACAATTCTGTCGGCCTGCTAATTGTACACTTTTGCAAACTTGTGGGCCCATAAAATATACAAAGGCACGGAAAATGTGTTAAACCAAATAAGCGACTCCTAGTGTAAAAGGTTTTTGGCAGTGATCTTCCAAGACTTAAGGTTTTAAAGCACAGCGTTTCGTTGCCATAGGCACCGCTCACTGTAACATTACCGAAAACTGTAATTTGTCAACACCATATTTATGTGATGAGTACAGTCTTCTCATATGTGATGCCGTGTAGTCTGACAAAAGCTCATCGACATTTCAGAGGAGGTCAATGCCTCCATATTCAAGGACGAAGAGTAAAGCAGATTGCGATTTTTGCTTTGCTTACACTTCGACCCTGAAAGTGGGGGCAGTGCTTTCGCCCGAGAGCAACGTGTCCATAGTCACGACTGAGGCAGACTGTAATCTCACATTCACTTATTAGTTCCGTGTGAGTTTCAGTAACGTGTCCATAGTCACGACTGAGGCAGACTGTAATCTCACATTCACTTATTAGTTCCATGTGAGTTTCAGTAACGTGCCCATAGTCACGACTGAGGCAGACTGTAATCTCACTTAACACTTATTAGTTCCGTGTGAGTTTCAGTAACGTGTCCATAGTCACGACTGAGGCAGACTGTAATCTCACATTCACTTATTAGTTCCGTATGAGTCTCAGTAACGTGTCCATAGTTACCGCGGAGGCAGACTCGAATCTAAGATGCGCTTGTGATTTCCGTGTGAGTTTCAGTAACGTGTCCATAGTCACCGCGGAGGCAGACTGGAATCTAACATGCGCTTGTGAGTTCCGTGTGAGTCTCAGTAACGTGTCCATAGTCACCGCGGAGGCAGACTCGAATCTAAGATGCGCTTGTGAGTTCCGTGTAAGACTCAGTAACGTGTCCATAGTTACCGTGGAGGCAGACTCGAACCTAACATGCGCTTGTGAGTTCCGTGTGAGTCCAGTAACGTGTCCATAGTCACCGCGGAGGCAGACTGGAATCTAACACGCGCTTGTGAGTTCCGTGTGAGTTTCAGTAACGTGTCCATAGTCACCGCGGAGGCAGACTGGAATCTAACATGCGCTTGTGAGTTCCGTGTGAGTCTCAGTAACGTGTCCATAGTCACCGCGGAGGCAGACTCGAATCTAAGATGCGCTTGTGAGTTCCGTGTAAGACTCAGTAACGTGTCCATAGTTACCGTGGAGGCAGACTCGAACCTAACATGCGCTTGTGAGTTCCGTGTGAGTCCAGTAACGTGTCCATAGTCACCGCGGAGGCAGACTGGAATCTAACACGCGCTTGTGAGTTCCGTGTGAGTCTCAGTAACGTGTCCATAGTCACCGCGGAGGCAGACTCGAATCTAAGATGCGCTTGTGAGTTCCGTGTGAGTTTCAGTAACGTGTCCATAGTTACCGTGGAGGCAGACTCGAATCTGACTTGCACTTATGAGTTCCATATGCGTCTCAGAACAAGCAGTGAATATTTCCTTGAAATGGACTAACCCGCTGTCCCTTGTAATGAAGATGCACCTGTCAGGTGTGAAGCGAATGTATAAATATTTCTCGTATTTTGACGGAACTTGTGCTTCAGAGT